CCATTAAATTGTTTTTGTTTTTAGGTCTGGCTGGTATATAAGGTTGGGGGGGGGGGTCATACTCTTTATTATTTTAATTTTTTTTCCTTTTCAGGAGCATGGTGTTAGCAGCAAGGTCATGGGTTCGATTCCCAGGGAATGCATTCTTGAAATAGCATCAGATAACAGCATCTCCCAAATGCATAAAAGTAAACGTAAATATTTGCTCATCAAAGAATATAATCAAAGTAAAAAATATTTATACATAAACACTTATTATATAAAAAATTAGTGCTGGCATATGCATGATCACTTTAGATCTTCAATTTTTTTTGATTATATGCCCATTCTGCAAACTACCTCACAGATATTCTGTGTACCTGAGCAGAAAGTCGCGGTGCACTCCTCTGCGCGTGGGCCACCGTGTCCCTCACCAGCTCGTGAACTCCCAGAAGCACTTGCTCCAGGTCCTGCGCTCCATGCATGCGGGTGGAGAGCGTCTCTAACGATCGCACAAACTCCCTCCAATGGGTGTCCACTTCGGCCAGGCTGGCGAGACACCCTCGCACCACGTTGAGGCAGTAGCCCATGCAGGGCTTGCTGGCGGTCAGACCCTGACAGTGCGGGCAGTAGCTCATCCTCAGCAGCCCACGTCTACACTCGCGGCTGAGCTGAATGTGGTCGGTCGTATTGATGACCTCGACCCCCAAGTGAAGCGCCTGGAGGAACACCCGGCCAGGTAGTGAGGCGCGGGAGATGTGCGCGGCGAGGCGACTCGGGGCTCTGCCATATGGCGCCAGATCCCGACAGGCCATGCGGACACACTCGGCGTACGGTGGAGACAAGCGGGAGAGACCCGGCTCCACCAGCCGCTCGTAAACCAGGGGGAAAAGGGCATCAAAGAAGCGGTGTGAAGCTTCTTCCAGACTGAGCTCGGAGCCCAAGACAAAGAGACCCACGTCTGTGAAAAACTCCCCGATGGGAGCCGCCGCAGGACTGGCCAGGTCACAGTACGTGTGCAGGAGGACGGCCTGAGTGTGGTTCTCCGCCTGATGGACCAGGGAGTCCACGGTTTCTGGAAGAAAGATGTGAAAGACAGTTCAAAGGAAAGTTATTCCATTCAAAACATGATCAATCATTCACAATAAGCCCTGGTCCATTTAGAAATGGTCTTGTTCGATTTCACATTGACCTTTTGATTAGAAATGAATAAAGCAGAATTGTTCACATGCTACACAGGTTTGTCCATTCAGTTTGTTCAATATACACTCATGACACTTTTAACCTATGGAAGTCCATCAGAAAGGTTATTTAGAAACAGAATTGACTAGCAGTGTCTAGAGATTAATGAAACAGAAACTTTCACATGCTATGCAGGTTTGTCTACCACTCAAAAATGTGTGGTCAGTAAAAAAAAAATTAAATAAAAATACTTTTATTCAGCAAGGATGCATTAAAGTGACAGTAAAGACATTTATAATGTTACAAAAGATTGCTCTTTCAAATAAATAAGCTGTTCTCTTGATTTTATTTATTTATCAAAGAATCCTGAAAATAAATGTACTATGATTTCTGCAAATATATGAAGCTGCACAACTCTGTTCAACATTGGTAATAATAAGAAATGTTTCCTGAGCAGCAAATCAGCATATTTGTAACAGTGCTGACGAGACGTGAGACGTGTGGATCCATCTGCAAGCTTTTAATAGAGAGACGTGGTAAACAGGCAGGGTCAAACAATGGCAAACAGGTATATGGCGGGCAAAACACAAGAATAGTCCTAGGGCTAGCGTAGGTCACGATCAGCAGACAGAATCACAGGGTCGAGACAAGAGGGGAAAAAACAGGCAAGGCAAGACAAGGAAAACATGGAGACTCGGAAAGGGGTACAGGCTAAACAATACTCAGCAGAGAAAGGTGGTTAGAGTGGGTGTTATATAGTGAACGAGGTAATTAGAAACAGCTGTGCGCAATGAGTGCAATCAGGGCAGTATGCAAATTGTGCAAAGAATGATGGGAAATGTAGTCCGGGGTGCTATGCAACAGTTTGTGTAGTGCGAGAGTCAATGTAATGGAAAGTGTGACATCTGG